TAAAAATATATAAAATATGATTAAATGAAATCTAAATGACTCACAAAAAAATTTGAGAATTTTGCCCCCTAGATCAAATTTCTGGCTCTGTCCCTGGTTAAATATCAAATTTAGTCTCTAAATTTTTAATTTTTCATTATTTTAGTCCCTAAATTATTTGTTGCATCTTTTTCATCCTTCAATAATAAAAAAGGTATTTTTGGTCCTTCTGTCAGCTTTTTTTGTTGTTTGCACAGCTAACATTTTTTTGGTCCCTAAACTTTTGTTTTATGAACTTTTTTTTCGTTAAACCAATATTTGTTATTGAGTTTTTAGTTCTTAAATTTTTATTTTATGGATAATCAAGTCATTAGAAGAAATTAAAAAAATTCCAACTGGACAAAATTAACAAAAAAAACTAATAGAAGGATCAAAAAATGTATTTTTCATAATTGAAGAAAGAAAAAATGTAAAAAATAATTTAGTTATTAAAATTATTTAAAATTAAAAGTTTAGAGACTAAATTTAACAGTTATCCTAAATCTAAACACCAAAACCGAATTACCTGTAATAAAAAAAAACCGATAATTTCAGTGCGGTATATATTTTAAAAAACATACACCGAAAACTTCGGTGAACCGAGTGGTTCGGTTCGACGGCATCTTAAATTGGGTTTTTTTATTTTTTTTTGGCCGAAAAGCATATTAAATTGATGGAATCAGAAGTTGCTTAGTTTTCTGGAAACTTTGGGTTTCGAAACCTCGAATGAAGATGAAGAATTTCTCCGTCGTTGTTTTCACTCTTCTTCTGCTTTCTGCGTTTTGCGATTTGGGTCTTTGTAGAGGAGATGATTTCCTAAGGATGAAACTCGGAGGCTTTCACGATTGCAAGGGCACCCAGAACAGCGCCGAGATCGAAAGTCTTGCACGGTTCGCTGTTCAAGAGCACAACAAGAAAGAGGTTTCTTTCATTCTCTCGCTTCTTTTCAATTCGATTTCCATCGTGCCCTCTTCAAAGTTCTAAACTTTGAGTTTGAATTTTGATTACCCCTAATTGCAGTTTCTGAAAGCCCTAATTTGATTATTATTTAAATAGGAAGTTTTATTTTGTGAAGATAATTATTGAATTCTGAAGTTGATTTTTTTCTTTTGGGGGAACTGTAGAATGCCCTGGTTGAGTTTGCAAGGGTGTTGAAGGCTAAGGAACAGGTGGTTGCTGGTAAAATCTATTATCTTACTTTGGAAGTGATTGATGCGGGTAAGAAGAAGATATATGAAGCCAAAGTATGGGTGAAGCCATGGCTGAACTTTAAGCAGTTGCAGGAATTCAAGCAGGCAGAGGAAGGTCCTTCCTCGTTTACCCCTTTAGACCTTGGTGTCAAAAGAGGTAATTTTACTCTGTTATTTTAATCACAAGTGCTAATATGATTGAATGCATATACTCAATCTTTTGGGTTATTTTCATCTTTTAGAATGGCGTGCTTCCTTGCAATGTCTTGGTAGATGCTTATTTTTCTGTCATGTGTCATCCCTATTGAACCTAAATTTCGATTTCCATCATTAGGGAAAGTAGAAAGGACGATAATTCTTTAGCTGGCTAAAGCATTTAATATTTGATATCTAGAATGTGAATTGCAGATTTTGTACAAATAAGGACATAACCTTTCAGAGCTTTTCCAATTAAGGATATGACCTATTTTCTTTATTAATCAAGGTTTATTGCCTTTCAAACGTTTCTAATCAAGCATATAATATTTGCGTCCACTTAATCATTTTTAGTAAAATTGCAAAGGCTATATCCTAAATTAGAAATTTTTGAAAGGTGGTAACCTTAATTTGTAAGGAAAAAAATTCATATCCTTAATTAAAATTTTTTTGAAAGATTGTGTCCTTATTTGTATGAAATCTCGTTTGAATTGAATTTTTCTTTGTTTTCAGTTGTCTTGCTTGGATTTCTTCACTTATTATTATATATTTTTTCAATAGGATGTTGGTAGAAATGGTCTTTAGCATGTCCAACCATATACCATCTCCTATTCACATGTTTGATTCTGTTTGCATTTTGCTCCAAAGGTTGTTGGCATCTTTTGATTGCATCTGGTTCTCCTGGATTTTGGTTCCTTTTAGTTGTTTTGATTTTTATTTCAAATCCAATTTCAAGTCTCTTACTAAAATAAGGGTGAAAAAGGATGATTCTAGATATTTATGCATGAGAAATGATATTTTAACTTCGCTTTTACGTGACAAAAGTACTTCCATCCGTGACATGACCTTTTTTTTCTTCTCATATCCTGAATGCTTTAATGGTGAATGAGATGTTGAGTGCTTTAATGCTGAATGTGTTGTTGCCTTGACCTTTATGGTGTGTAATTACTTAACATGGTTATCGAGATTTAATTTTTTTTTTCTTCTCTAATTTTCATTTTGTCTGGAAGCATCATTTAGAGATGATTAATGTTGTTGAATTTGAGACAAATTTATGGTAGTAATTAAATTGGCATGTTTTGTTAAACAGCTTATCATGGAGAAGGATGGCAAGCAGTGCCAACTAATGATCCTGAGGTCCAAAATGCTGCAAATCATGCTCTTAAGTCCATTCAGCAAAGATCCAACTCATTGTTCCCATATGAGCTTACAGAAATCTTGAATTCTAAGGCCAAGGTTGGCATCTCGGCATTTGCTTTCTTCCCAACCAGCCTCTCCGTTTAGTTTGGTTTTATTTTTTATATATTTGGTAACTATTACTATATTTAAATATCAGAATTCAATATAAAAATTGGAATTTATTAAATTTAATCTAAGTATAGTAATAGTTACTATATATAAAAAAATAAAAATTAAAAACCAGTAATCAAAATCATACTAAACGAAGTCTTATTTTAATGGTGTTTTGCATTTTCACATGGCATAACTTATTGATTAGATAAAGCCGTACTTCCTGTCCCCAATGGTAATAAAATAGTGAGAGTAATGAAAACTCCATCCTTTCTACTTCAAATTTTGTTATTTTTTACTCAAGGGGTTGCTTTCCTTCGTTGCAGGTTATTGGAGGCTATAAAAAGTTTGACATGCTTCTGAAGTTAAGAAGAGCCGACAAGGAAGAGGATATCAGAGTTGAAATGACCAAAACCAACCAAGGAAACTTTGTTTTAGGTTAGATGGGGTAAGCATGCAGTGTTGATATGTATATAGAAACACATGACTGCACGTGTCTGGTCTGGAAATAAGGAGCCCACTCTTGCTCTTATGTCTTGATGGGGTAATCTACATATTGTAATGTCTACTAACTACCCCATATAGATCCAGCATTATACGATAAATGATATGTGCATGGAAATCACTATCCTTTACTTCCTCTCTCTGTAAATGAAGTAATGCTCATAGCCAATGCAAATAACAACGAAAAATATGATATTTTTAAACTCATATCAATTAAGTAGCAAATAAAAACAATGATTAAGATCATTCACATGGGGCGTTTTTTATTTGGTTCCCTTAATCAAAAGATTACTGATCAAGAAGGAAAGAAATGTGGTCCAGTAGAAAGCAGAGAATCTCAGCAAAATGTGTAAACTTCTAGTCTTCTATATGTCCACGGCGATGCGTTTGTACAAATGTGAAGGCAGCCTAGGCGTGGCCACGGCCTCTAACGGTGTCCGCATGTAAGCCACCAATCCGGGATTCTCAAACATGTCGATATCTTCTGGTTTCACCCCATCTACCGGCTTCCAACAAAAATGATGCAGGAGGTGACCCAGCATGGAGGTCACCAGATTGAGACCCAGCTGTGCACCGGGGCAAACTCGCCTTCCTGCACCAAATGGAAGCAGCCTGAAGTCATGACCCTAGACCTGGCAAACGGGCGGGCGGGTTGGGTCGGGTCCAAACGGGTAATAGGTCAAAATGGGTTGGGTTAAAACGGGTCACGGGTCAATGAAGGCAAATCCTAATCCGTCCATTACGGGTTACAAGTCAACCCGCGGGTTGACCCAATTAAAATTTTTTTTCTCTATAATTTGTACTTATTATCATTCAAAGAAAATTATTTAAAACATTTAAAAAAAGAAATTCAACATCTTATAAAAATAATTTTTTTTCATTAATTTAATATATACATATTTATAGTTTCTCAGAATTACCTT